TAGATAATCACTAAATTAAGAAATTTGTGCCACGATTGTATAACAAACATTGTTTTGTGGATTGAACATGTAGCTTTGGTGGTCGTTTGATTATCGTGCTCCATAATTGTACAGGGCTAAATGAAATCTACGTAAATCACGGGGGGTTGTTCTCACGGTTTAAAATGGTTTATTCACACTTGCTCATTAATATTGTTATGACGTAAATTTTATATATGTATGTCTAAATTTCACATTCTTTCTAACAAACAAATAATGCACATTTGGCAACTTTTTGGTCTTAGGGACATAATTTTATTATCCAACTAATCTCTTGATCTTTGCAATAACGAGTAACCTTATTAACAACAAAGTTGCTCTTTGATTACCTAAGATGCCTAATTACGACTTACATAAATACAAATATGTATACCTAAATTTACTACATCACAACTGATACAATTATGAATCTCCCTCATCAGTTGAGAGTTGCTATTGCGATCGATAGTTAATAAATACGTGTTTGTGTAATTGTAACAAAACCACCACCAGAAATTTATTCAGTTCTTTAAGTAACCGAAATAAGTTTCCGTATTTCCTGAATACGTTCCCAAATTTCCTACTTTCCATATTTCCTCTGTAAATCATCACGCATCTTAAAATCAGTTCTCACAGACTCTACACGGAGCAGGAAATATTGACGCCTGATAATATTAGAGTAGCAATAATGAAAACAGGAATCTCGTGGGCCACAAAAAAATTTGATTTTGTTAAGGTTTGCATAGTTGGTAAAGGTGATTTTTGTGAGTAAAACGGTACCAATACTTTGGTTCAACTCCTCCCCTTTCCCCGGGGGGAGGAGCCCAAAGTCGCAATAATTGCAAACCGGGCAGCGGATTTCAAGATGATGGGTAAAGATTTCGAGATGCTACTTTCGCCAGAAGATTCGTAATTTTTTTCTCTACAACCCGAATCGAGCATTTACGGAAATTCGAAAAACCAAATTTCGAATCATCTTCCGCGGCCACTGTATATAAATAGTTGACTTTTCCAAATTTATGTGGAATCAATCAAAAACAAATTTGTACCTGGTAGCATTTAGGTATTACACAAAAACAGATTCTATGTATGAAAAATTTTGCTATCCTGATAACTTTGCCGGTATATAGGCAATTTCAGCTTAAAATTTTGAGGGTTGGTTGACAGTAAATACATACATACATATGTACAACATACATGACATACATACATATGTATGTATTTACTGTCAACCAACCCTCAAAATTTTTAAAGCTGAAATTGCTTATACCGGCAAAGTTATCAGGATAGCAAAATTTTTCATACATGGAATCTGTTTTTGTGTAATACCTAAATGCTACCAGGTACAAATTTGTTTTTGATTGATTCCACATAAATTTGGAAAAGTCAACTATTTATATATCAAAATATTTTAAATTTCCTAAAAATCTATTTGTTTCGTAATATTAAATATACACATATTAAATATACATTAAATTTAAAAAAGTCGACACCAATATAATACTTAGAAGGATTGAGTCATCGAATAAATACGAGTCGAGTCATCGCGATGACTCTGACAATTTATTCGTTTATTTATGGTCGCGACCTTACTGCTTAGTAAATAGTTGACAAGTCCTTATCATAGTTACATACATACATATGTACATAGTTGTTAGAAAATTTCTATTCAATATCATTAACAGGAGCTGAGATATGTACATGCATCCGCAAGAATGCTTGAATTAAAAAAATTACTTTTACGTAATGCATATCTATTTATCCATGCATAACTATAGTTAGGTTATATATGTACAGATTTATAGTTGTGCAGAACGGCATAAATGTTCCGAAATTTTAGAACTGTAAAATTGTCAATAATTTATAGAATTTGATTCTTGCTCTATGTCTCAATAGCTTTCATAAATAGGTCAAAATCCAGAAAAAATTCAAAATCTTTTCGTATACCCTGTCGTTTAAAAAAACGCGAGAATCTTGAAGTTTCCTTCTCCAAATTCATTATGGTGAAAATTCTGTCATTGTTTTTCTTACGCAGCGCAGTTAGAAGCGACAGAGAAAAAAGCTATATTTTTTGACTCCACAAATCTCCTGTACCACATTTGTGTTGCTTCAGGCATGGATTTGTGGCGATCGTGTTTGTTAGCGCGTTCAAAATTTTTGGTGACCACACGGACCGTTCTTAATTGTAATTAGTGTTGTGCATGAGGTGAGTTACACGCCAGCTTATTTGTCCTCATTTATGTAAATGTGTGGTGAGTTGGCCGAAACAGTAACTCACCCCATCTCACTATTAAGTACTGAGGAAATCCTGAGTGAAATGAGTTAAGTGAGTTGAATGCAAAAAATCTTATTACTAATATTTTTCTGTAAATGCCATGTACTCTGTTTTTTATTTAATTATTCAACAATAAGTCGTCCGTGTGCTGGCTAATTAGGTAATTCTACATCATATTCCTAATTCCAAAGCTTATTGAAGTCAGTCGTACGTAATTCAGTCGAATACATTTTTAGTGGGGTTGATTACTCCTTTGGGCCTCCACTTTTCGAAATTTAATTTAGATTAACAACTGTGAAAGTATTGTCTCCTCCATAATTATTAAATGTCTTGCCATATGACCCTACTGCACTTCTTCTCTACTTTTTCAATTCAAACTTTTTGTTGAGAAACATCTCAAACCTCTATGTTAGATTTTTACAAAATCTTAATGTAATTCTAAGAAATCTAAGAAATACATAATAATTTATCCGTATAAAAAAATTCAACATCTGCGACATTCTATGCTAAATGAGTTTAATGTGTTAGCTCATGAGTTCAACTCACCTCAGCGCACACAATTCACAGCTTACTCCCTTATAAATGAGTTGAGTTATTATACTCCCAACTCACTTCGTCTCAATTGAGGCGAGTCTGCCTAACCACTTCATTAGTAACACTAATTGAAATTAATACTGGTCCCGGTATACCGATTTATGGTGAGGTTGAAGGACCATCAAATTTCCTATGGTCCCTTAGATTATTTCTGTAGTACATAGATAATTACTTTTCAGCAAATTTAGTAAATATTTACATTTTATTTTAAACTACAGCATATCTGTATTACCTTATTTACAAAATAAAGGTATAAATATTTATGTATGTATATATTAATAATTAATTAATAATTAAAGTATATATATGTTAAATATTGTTTAATAATTAACCCTTACATATCAAATTACATTAACATGTCAGCATCGTCAACCAACGACCGAGATCTTGTGGAGAGTGTCCTGTTCCATCCAGCCAGCAACAAATTGGTTTTAAGAGGCGTAACCCTTGACCCATGCAGACACATGAGCGAGCGAAAAAATGCAGCATTATGTTAGATTTAAGTTAGAAGTATATACATATACCGTTAGGTAGTTGGGTTTATAAATCCCGGGCAATCTTAAAACTGATGTCATTGGAAGCAAACCTAAGCGCGGTCGAAAAAGTTAGTTGGAAAGGCTTTGATTGTTGACTAAATATTTACACTTTCTTATTGATTGTAAAATTTGAAGTACTTAGGGATTTCGTTTATTTCTTATTCGGAAATTTAATTATTTTGTTGTACATTTTAATGAAAGTTGTTGCAAAATAAATCAATTCGTTGCCCATTTCATAATTGGCGAAATTATTAATTTTGGTTGGATAAAGCTATATTTTCGTTGGACCGTTAAATTTGCACCCTAAGAAAATGAATCGAAAAGGTTGACACTGTTGAGGAAGGAAAGATTATGGGGTTGTGGGACGGCAAGAGGGAATAAAAGTATGTGAAGTCAGACCACCAAATACTGCATCTCAAACTGACTCTTTATTTGGGCACAGAAATGTCCACGACTTTTCTCACACATAAATTTCATCCTCTTCGCACAAACAAACTCACAAATTTCACAACCACTGAAAATCAATTTATGCAAAAGTTCTTGTTTCGCAAATAATTATACCAATGCATAATTGCACGTCCGACAAGTTAATTGGCAAAACGTACGAACAATAAAATAAGACAAGCCTGACAATACATTAATTATTGATTAATAATTAGAGGATTGATTAAATATTTTTTAATAATTAACCCTTACATATAAAATTGCATTAACATGATTCAGGACTTGAATGCATTTCAAAACGCATTAATAATTAACCGTTACCAACGAATTGTAAACAAGGGGTGAAATCAAGTGGAAATGTCTCTGGGGCACGCCTTCATCTTCTGCCATTGTTTCAAATTTCCCGGTTGCATTTCGCCGCATATCTACACGTCACGCGCGTAATTTAAACGTCCTCGACAACATCTTTCGAACGACACCATACATGTCCAAATTGTGTATCGTTTACGGATGTTGAGATCGACTATAAAATGATACTCAACGGGTTGAGACCGTCCTCCGCAACGACCCGTTGCAGTCGGTTTCTCCAAATCTTTCCTAAGAAGGGCCGAGAGATTAAGTGACGAACTAACACTCGTCGTCAATTAAGTTAACTTGTATTTATTAAAAAACTCAACCAATTTTTACAAACTTTTTGGAAGAGACAAGAAAACTTACAACTACACTGCTTCACAGACAAAGGAACAGTGCCCGAAAGCACGAAAATATCTCGCCTTCACAAAAACGAGGGACACTCAAATTATAGGGGCGAATAAAGAATAATAATAGACAAACAATACAACATTCATAAAATATACATAATTAAATTTATGGCACTAATAATTCCACTGGCCATATCTTGAGGGCTTATTGATCACCCTCCCGCTCTTGGTCTTGACTACGACGACTTCATCCCCCTCCTCTTGAATGGGGACAAGACTCGTTCTGGGCGCAGGCAGCGTCTTCGGAGACGAAACCTCTAAAGGAAAAAGCCGCTGGAGAGGTCTGGTGAGAATTCCTTGAGTCATCCTCACTTTGGCAACTCGTACTTTTCCATCTGCACCTGGCATCAACTCCATGATTTTTCCCATTGGCTACTCGTACCGCTTTCTGTTGTCGGATCCAACTAGCACTACGTCACCGACTTCGATTGGAGGGCCCTTCTGCTCATTCTTCTTCTGGATTAAGTTGGCCAGGTATTCTTTTCGGAACCTTTCCTTCAAACTTTTCCTCAGGTTCGCCAACTTCTGGTAACTATTTTGAAGGTCACGGGAGGTGATTGCTTCTCGTTCAGGGAGACCGAATACAGGGAGATCTCTCATGAACATCAATGGCGTGAGAGCAATCAAATCTCCTCCATCTTCATTAAGAGTTGTAAGCGGCCGACTATTGATTGTATGGGATACGGCTGCCAAGCACTTTTCTAGTTCTTTCTTCGTCAACTTGGCCGTCCCCAACATCCTTCGTAATAATTCCTTTATCGACCGCACCATACGCTCCCAGAATCCACCCCACCACGGCGAAGCTGGCGGGTTGAAAGTCCACTTTATTACTTTCACGTTGACTTTCTCCTCAATCTTCTTCCAATTGAGACTCTTCAACAGGTTCTGAGCGCCTACCAAGTTAGTGCCATTGTCGCTATAAATTTGACTCGGCCGTCCGACATTCCATGTGAACTTCTCAAGCGAGTCCAGGAAATCGTCTGAGCTTAACGAGTCCACGATGTCCAAATATACACCTCGATAAACGGCGCAGGTGTACACGACGATCCAAACTTTCTTCCCTCCTTTTAGAATAATTGGGCCGGCAAGGTCGACTCCCGTCGTCTGGAAAGTACCCTGAGCCTCCTCTACTCTAGCTTGTGGCAAAGGGGCTGGATCACATACTTGGCTTCGTCCAGAGTATCTCTTACAGGTGACGCACTTTCTGATTACTTTCCCCACGGTCTTCCTTCCACCGGGAATCCAATACCGTTCCCTTAATTTTCCCAATACAAACTGCGATCCCCCATGGCAATTGGTCTTATGAATATACTGAATCAATTGATGTACAATGGGATCATCCTTCGGCAGTAGGATTGGACTTCGCAATAGCGGTGTGTCTTCCTTATAGGTCAGCCGGGTTTGGACATGAAGAAGCTTGTCTTCTTCTCTTCTCAATTTCATTCCTTGAATTTTCGGCATACCAGAGAAATGCCTCTTCTGTACTTGAAGAAGTAGGTCACTTTCTCGTGCCCTCATCTCGGACATAGTCAGATACTTTGAGTAGCATCTGTCTTCTCTTCTTTTACTGCAATTCCCCACGAATCGCCGAATCCATGCAGCAACACTAACATTCTTCCTGTAGGAATTGAATGGGGGCGAAATCTCTTCTAACGACATGGCAGTGGTGGTCACTTTCTTCTTTTCTTGTGACACTGCTTCTTCGTCCACACCCCCTTCCATATTGGGCCAGCTACTCTCTGAATCCAATAGCCATGCTGGACCCTCCCACCATCTTGACTCCAATACCTGAACTGGAGAACATCCTCTCGATGGGAGATCTGCGGGGTTGAGAAGACCTGGAACATGTCTCCATTTTACGTTGTGGGGAAGACGACTGATTTCTCTGACTCTATTTCCGACGAACGTTCCCCAGTTCTCATCTCTTCGGATCCGGGCGAGAGCGTTTGTAGAGTCACTCCACATGAAGCACGGCACATTTTCCATTGACAAGGACTGTGTCGTTGAGGTCAGCAATCGTGAACCGATCAAACAACTCATCAGTTCTAAACGATTGATCGTCACGTTCTTCTCCTTTTTCTTACTGAGTGGGGCCAGTCTTGACTTCGCTTGCAATAGGTGGACTGACACTTTCTCCCCACTTTTCACTCTAGCAAACACCACCGCCGCGTATGCATTCTTGCTTGCATCGCAGAACGTGTGGAGCTGAATTTCTTGTCCTTGACCATACGGGAATGCACATCTTGGGATCCGTATTTCTTGGAGTGACTCCAATTCCTTACTCCAAGAAAGAAACTTGTCCACTTCCTTTTTATCCCACTCGGCGTCCCAACTTAACCCGTCGGCCCATGACTGCTGTAACTTTATCTTGGGAGGCAACAGCGCTGGACACATGGCTCCAATGGGGTCGAAAACTTGCGAAACGATGGATAAAACGGTCCTCTTGGTGACGACGAGCTTTTCCAAATTCAGTGGAGAAATGTCGCAACGTAAGGTGTCTTGCTCCTTATCCCATTTCATCCCTAACACACTCGATTCTGGCCCGTTCCCCTGACCTTCAGTGTCATCCACATTCGATTCCCACTGTCGTAGCTCCATCTGCGCCCTCGCCATGATATTTGTTGCCCGTTCTTTGATTTCTTGGTACTCGGAGGCACTATTCATCGATCCAACGTAATTGTCAACATACAGTGACTTCTTTAATATCTCTGCCGTTGGTCGGTCCTCCTCGTCAACTTGATTCAAATGGTGGTTAATAACTGCTGCCAAAAGGAACGGAGAGCAGTTCATCCCAAACACCACTCGACAATGCCGGAAAACTTTGATGGATTTTTCTGTATCCCACCACAAGAACTTCTGGTAATTCCGGTCTTCTTCTTTCACTCCCACCATCTGAAACGCCTTCCGTATGTCCGAGATTGCGGCAACTTTCTTCTCTCGGAAACGAAGCAGTATGGATGGGATTAATTCCAACATATTCGGACCCTTTTCGAGGCACTGGTTGAGTGACGGGTACTTTCCAACCCGACACGACGCGTCGAATACTGGTCTGACCGGTGTCGTCAAGCTTTCTAATTTGAAAACCGGTCTGTGGGGAAGGTAGTGGGAATCCTTTGAGTCATCTTCTTGAACTTGTTCTATAATCCCCTCGTTTTCCCACTCTTCAAAAATCTTATCATAGGCCTGGTACTTGTCCTCCTTAATAAGCTTCTCCGTAGCACGATTGAGTCTCACCGCGACTGCTTTGTTGTCCGGTAGCCCCTCGCGCCCGCCGCTCCACGGAAGTTCAACAACGTACCGACCACTGTCATCCTTGGTGATGGCATTCTGCATATTCTCCTTGACATTGGCTTCATGCTCTTCTTCGCTTATCTTTTCTGCTGAGTCACGAATCCCAATGGTTTCTAACTTCCACAACTCCGGAAGTGTCTTCTCTTCTTGCGACAACATCGATATGGTCAACATCGCAAGATTCTGTGGTGATGGACTTGGCAATTCTCCACTAAGTGTCCACCCAAAGATTGACTCCATTGCTATCAATCCTCCTTCCAGTTTGACCATCTTTCCCGTCATGAATGAGCCCCAGAGATCACTCCCCACTAATATTTCAACTTCCGGGGAGTCTGAGTAGGTATCGGTGAGGTAAATCTTCCTCCTCGCCAAATCTTTTATCCATGGGCCTTGTGGGATGATTGGACAACTTAAACAAATAACCTCCTCTCCCACCAGGTTGACCTTCTTCATGGCTTTACTTCCGATACCTCCCAGGACGACTTCATACTTCTTCCGGGACTTCACATCAGTCAAATAGCCTCCAAACAATGCATTTTGCATCATGACATTTTCCACCACGGGGCACTTCATTTCTATTGCAATGGAAGACTTCACATAACTTCGCTGGCTCCCTTCGTCAAACAGCAGGCGCACCTCTCTATTTCTTCCGCCTGGCCCTTTAATCATGACGTGGAGCGTCTTCATCAGCACCAGGTTCACTTTTCCTTCTTGATTATAACTGGTCACTGAAGGCTGCACTGTGAGACCTCTCATTCCTTGCACAAATTCACTTGAGTCCCCATGACTTTCACTCTTTTTCTCTAGTTCGGGACACATCAACTTGTAGTGCTTCTTTTGACAATGGCTGCACTTAAGGGACGATTTGCAAAACTTAGCACCATGTCCTTTTTTGAGACACACATAGCAAGAGCGACTATCTCGAACTTTGTCTCTTCTCTCTTCCATTGTCATCTTCTGTGCTCGGAAGCATTCTTGTGAGGGGTGGTTTGACTTTGAGCAGAAAATCCATCCTATTTTCTCAACTTGATTCGAAAGAGAGGCCGCTGTCGGAATGGACGACTTGTTTCCATTCTTCTGCTTCTCATTGACCTTCTCTTCTCCAACGCCAAATCCAGCCTGCGCCAACTGCCTCTGGGTCTCGTTCTCCACCTCGCCTCTCACAAATTCCATCATGTAGTCGAACTCTGTTCTTGGAGGAGTTTCGTTCTTTCCGTCCTTCCCAAAACTTGCGCTTCTTTGCCACGCCAATAAAACGTCGTCAGGAAGGCACGACTCCACCATCGGGAACAACAATATATCCATTTGATCTTGAGTAATCCCCAGTGATTCCAAAGCTTTCAGGTGCGCCTCTAACTTGTCAAACATCTGCGTAATTGACACCTTCTGCTTGGATTTCTCAATGATCATCTTCAATAATTCCCGAACATATACTCTTTTCAGGATCTTCTCTTTTCCAAAACGGTCCTGTAGGGCTTGAATGACCTTTGGATAGTTTGCAGCAGTTTGTGGGAACACCTGCACGAGGTCTGCTGCCTTTGAATTGGGGATCATCGCTTGCACCAGATATTGGAACTTATCTGCTTCATGTAAGTCCTCATCTTCATGCACCTTGGCGAATTGCGCCCACCAACTCAACCACTCTGTAATGTCTCCGCCAAACTTCTTTATTTCTGTTTTGGGGAGTTTGTACGTCTTTCTTCTTTTGTGACCGTCGGAGGCGGTGGAATAACTGCTTGAAGTGGGACTTCCCGTGAGGACTACTGGGGTAAGGACTTTCTCCAACTTCAATTGCACCGTTTCTACTTTCTCTTGATATTCGGTGATGACTGGGAATTCCTTATCCGCTTCAGTTACTACTTCCTCTCCTTCTTCCTCCGGTTCTCCGGGGTCCATTGCACTAAGGACGTCCATTAACTTTTCATCCATCTCTCGTAACTTTTGATTGAGGGTGTGGATGACGTTCTGTTTCGCCCTGATGGTGTCCAGGTCTTTCGGGTCCACTGCCAGTAGCGCTTCTAATTTGTTACATAGCCTCGTAACTTGGGCTCGAACAGGTTTCCTGGCTCTCCTCTGCGCCTCCATCGTGACCTCAAAAGTTTGCAACAAACGAGAAAATGATTAATAATTGTTCCTTTCAACTTTTTCTCTCAGAACAATTCCACCTCTTAAGCTCCCGTATGCACAGGATGGAGCCCTCAAAGAGGCAAGACAACTTCTATAATATTCTTCTCGAATACAAAACGGATGGAAGAGGTCGCGGTCCGCGAACTCAGGGTCCTGGGAAGTAAACTGCGGTCGATATCCTTTTAATGGCTCGACTCCTACTCAGCTACTCCACCCACAGGCTCTCGATCTGGTCACGGTGCTAATCTTTCTCCCCTTATACCGAACAAAACTAAAACGGAAAGGTATCACCTGCTGCGACCCGGAATACTCCAGGTCTGGTCCTCAAAGAGGCAATTCTTTTTTGGTGATCCTTGTTCTTTAACAATTCCTCTCTCTGGTCCTTCTCGGAGTCTCGGTGGGACCTCCAGATGTTGAGATCGACTATAAAATGATACTCAACGGGTTGAGACCGTCCTCCGCAACGACCCGTCGCAGTCGGTTTCTCCAAATCTTTCCTAAGAAGGGCCGAGAGATTAAGTGACGAACTAACACTCGTCGTCAATTAAGTTAACTTGTATTTATTAAAAAACTCAACCAATTTTTACAAACTTTTTGGAAGAGACAAGAAAACTTACAACTACACTGCTTCACAGACAAAGGAACAGTGCCCGAAAGCACGAAAATACCTCGCCTTCACAAAGACGAGGGACACTCAAATTATAGGGGCGAATAAAGAATACTTATACTAATGCCTTATGATTTCTTCAACGGATTTGAGAGTAACGATGATCTAACCAAACTGAATAGCAACGGGATTACCATACATTGATCCCATCACAAAACGCCTTAATCACGAAGTGCTGAGTGAGACTGGCCTTGTTTACGATATGGACCTTGAGATTACGGGCGATCTCGGTTTTGAAAATCTTTGGTGGAATTCTACAAAGATCGGGATCGAATTTTTATTTTGAAGTAAGAATGCATTTACAAACCGCTCGTTTTACAATGGTTGAGTTAACAGTTTAAATTTGCTTAGTATTTTTTAAATTTCGTGACTTTATTGCCTTCCAAATTTAATAATCGGTTGATTAAAATGGTTTCATGTTCATTGTGATGTATAGAAACGGGAAAATTTCAGCAATTAATTAAATTATATTATTTCCTAATCTTTCAGTCAAAATATATAAAAAATTATTCAGCTAAAAAAATATGTACGTAAATAATTTCGCCAGCTACTTAGCGAGGCGTTGATTTTGAGTATGAATCCTTTCCAAGCTGTAAGCAAGTCACCGTAAATTTTGCTGTCACGTACAGAAAACAAAATTGAAGCGAATACCTGTCTGTCTATTCCGGAGATGTTTTGTGCTTCGGTCTTTTTCCCGGTCGCACTTGTCGTCCTTTTTTCACCTCGCATGCCACCTCCCCAGATGCTGTGGATTTATTTTTACCCGCCAGTTTTCGATCGCCTGATTCCTTCACGTTCCAGACCACCTCGGTTCTAAAATTTACATTATCAACGTCGTCCTGATCGCTAGAAGTTTTCATTAGAACGGCGCCTTCCGGAAGAACTGAGTCTTTAAAGGATTTTTTGGCACGTCTCCACGAATCCCAGGATTCTTTCAAGAGTTTCTCCGGAAGTGGAATATGCAATGTCCCATTGGTTATAAACCTTGAATTAATTAGAAGACTTACAGATTATCATAACTGAGATTCTCAGTGTTTCTCACGGGTCGGGTTCTTGCAAATCCGAAACCCGAACCCGAACCCGATACCACTGATCCGAAACCCGAGGGCAACCCGAACCCGAAGAACCCGAAACCCCTTTGCAAGGTCCCGAACCCGAACTAGCAGATCAAATCCGAAACCCGAACCCGAAAACCCGAATATATTTTAATTTTAATGGGTGGGCTGAATTTTTAGCTAAAAATTCTTTGGAAGCTTTCAAAGCAACAATACTATCTGTAAATATAGCCAAGGAATTATAATTAAGCACATTTCTGCATAAATATAATGCATTTTAAAATGTGCTGAATTTTAATTCCTCGACCACAATAATGCAATCTCAAAAAATCGACCCTTAATAATTGCTTTCCGTGACATTCAGAAATTTGTAAATAAGTTGAAAACTGAAAACGATTTTCAGTTTCCAATATTAAAGTATTCTCAAGCTAACTAGTTAACTAGCAAGCTAGCTAACTAGCAAATTTTTGATTAAAAAATATATTTTATTTTAATATTCAAATCATAACACTAATTGAAGACACTTGTGAAAAGAAGTTACGACAATTAAAAATTTGAATTGTTTACTTAATCACGGCAGCATAACCGTCTTAGCAAGTGTGGTTAACACTTCAATTTTCTTTTTTAACTTTTTCGCGTTCGTTGTGGCAAAAATTCTTGTTGATTCGGGTTTCGGGTTGTTAGTCGGAACCCGAACCCGACCCGAACCCGAAATTTTGGGATCAGATTTTTCGGACCCGAACCCGAACCCGAAAGTTTCGGGTTCTGAAATTTCGTATCCGAAGCAGGACCCGAACCCGAATCCGAACCCGAAACCCGAAGTAAGAACCCGAACCCGTGAGAAACACTAACTGAGAATTGAGGTCTCCCAATGTGTGCTCAAATATTTGAAGGAAACCATTGTGAATCGATCAAAATTTGAATTAGTGTGAAATTTGTAAACGGCATGGAACTATCTGTCAATGCGCAGGTTTAGCGGTCATGTTTGCATCCGAAGTGGAGAAAACGCGCAATAAATTTGGAAAGTGTAAAAAAATGCCAGCTTTGGGACTAGCCTTATCTCCTTTTTCTGCGAATTTCTCGGCCAAACTTACGCATTGGAAGTTGTTTCACAATTTTATATAAATTAAATTGGTGATCGATTGAAACTAGTTTGGTCCAAATCTGAGAGCATACGTTGGGAGACTTCCATTGTTAGATGTTAGCACCTTTTAAAATTCCGCCACAGGCGTAAACATGTGTATTCAGGAAAACGAAAAAATACGGGTCCACTTATTGTTGAGCGTGAACAATCGGTCGATATCGGCGATAAACACCTCACACCTCCTCATTGATAGCTTGTTCTTCCTCGAACGGGAAGGAAAACGCCAAGCGATTCGTAATTTTTGGGTCGATTTTTTGACATGACTTGGTACAAAATCCCGATGCAGCTGGAAAAAAGGTGCTCTTGTAGGTGATTAAAATATTTGAGTAACATTTCCAAAATTATTTTAAAGTATTAGATCCGATTATGCTTAAATTATTGTTTGATAGCATTGTTATCCAAAATCGTCTTTTTTTGTCTTGTCGACAAAATTGGACACAACTTGGTTAAGTAAATGCTTACTGTTCGTTCAAAATTAATATGCAGTAAAGTCCTCAAATTTTTTTAAAACGTCAAATGGCCCAAGTTGCTGGTTGACATTGACAGCGATTTAATTATGCACATTTTTTCAACTTTTAAATGAAAATCAGGTGAAATTTGGAAAATATAAACAAAATCAATCAATGGAAACCAATCATCCGCCAAATAACCTTTTAGATTTTTTACTGCATATTATTTTTGAATTAACAGTAGAAAAGATCATTTTAAAAGGTTAATGTACATATTTTTGTACAGTCTATAAAATGTATTTATTTGGCATCACCTACAAAGTTGCGATGCCTGTAGAATGTTACTTTCAATTCTGCTCTCGATAATGGAACAAATGTGGAACAGATGAACAATCCGATCGCTAAAGTAGCGATTTTAGGAAAGAATTTGGGCATTTTGATATGTAAAGTTATTCTTCTAAAGAATCGAGGAGAAGGAAAGAGACCTTGTGTCGACAAGTTTGGATGAAAATACAATCACAGAAACAATAAAAAATAATCGTGCATTGTCCAAGCTTAAGAGCACACTCTTAAAAAAATACTGTTATATACAGGGTGGTGTAAATGTCACGCTACAATGGAAAATTCAATGGGAAATTCAATGGAAATCTCCATTAGTTACAAAATTTTGGATTGAGATGTTTATAATTATTATCAAAACTGATGACGAAATTCTTGAAATGCTGAATTTTAGAGACAAAATTTCGGTAACTAATGGAAATTTACGAATTTTTCTCATCTAAAAATTTTCCATTGTAGCGTGACATTTTACCCACCCTGTACTTTAGTAAAAAGTAATTGTGCCGTAAATTCTAAGTTAAGGAACTAATTTTCGGCAATACTCGTAATTATAATTGTAACCCAATTTTTCTTAGTGTAGGAGCATGCATACTTGACAGAACACAATGCTCTTCGGGACGATTGTTTCCCTGCCGAGGGCAATTAAGGGTTTAAACTATTGAAGTTTTAAATTACAACGGGGATCCTTTGTTTAAATAAATCGGTATTCTGAACTGCATTGACGTCACAAATGTTTCTGCGGAACAGATGAATCTACATAAATGTTAAATTTAAAGTTGATTTATTAAAACGTTACATTACTCTGCACTCTCAATAATTTGTAAGAAAAATTATTACCCTAACACGGTAACACCCAATAGGTAACAAATTCGTCACCAAAATTGTCAACATCTGAAGTAATAAACAATATATATATTCTATACAAAATTCCCAAAACTCCTTGTTACTATCGAAACTTAAAAACTCCTAATCTTTTCTTTTCTGGAACTAATTTTTCAGTGATTTTTAAGAAGATCCAATTTCTTAATCCGGTGCAGTTTGCGAAGTATCTTTTCCGAGACTTTCACACACTGTAAATGAAGTTGAGTAAAATTGCCACCAAAGCAACTATTGAGTAAAATTTACCCTGCCAAAGGTAAAATTTACTCAAGGTTGAGCAAAAATCTGTCAACCTCGAGTAAATTTTACTTTTGTCAGGGTAAATTTTACTGCATAGTTGCTTTGGTGGCAATTTTACTCAAAATTGAGTAAATTTTACTCAAAATTGAGTAAATTTTACTCAAAATTGAGTAAATTTTACTCAA